CAACTCTGCTCCCTTGGCTTTAGGCGCACCATTCTCCCAGTCCATCTGAGTGGCGACTCCACCCTTAGAAACACCAGAGGCCATGGCTCCACCCTTTGAAACCCCTGAGGTCACGGCCATACCTTTTGAGACTGAAGCAGCTCAGCTTCGTGTGTTCCTTGTCTCTTCAGCTTCTGCTTCCTATGACCTCTCGGCCCTCGGGCCTCACGCCCGCATCTGCCCTGCTGCGGCAAGTGTTCCAAAGCTCAGTAGCTCCACGGGTATAAGTGCCAGAGGCACCCCACTCCGCCAGAAAGCCTCGTGCACCCAGGCACTCAGCTCTCTCGCTCCATGGGTCGGCTCCAGCGCCGTCTCACACTGGTCTCCTGGTTCTGCTGCTGTTGGTTCTCTGCTGCTGGTGGTCCTCTGTCACTGCCGCACGTCTATCCGTTCACAGTTTTAAAACCGCTTCCACATTTTAGGTATCTGTCAGAGCAGCACCCCACTCTCTCGGTACCAAATTCTGTCTTAGTTATCTAGTGCTGCCATAACAGAAATACCACAAGTAGATGGTTTTAACGAAGAGAAGTTTATTTCCTCACAGTCAAAGTAGGCTAAAAGTCCAAATTCAGGGCGTCAGCTCCAGGGGAACTCTTTTTCTCTCTGTCGGCCTTCTCATCAGTGTTCCCCTGGACTAGGAACTTCTCGGTGCAGGGAGCCCGGGTCCAAAGGACGTGCTCTGCTCCCAGCACTGCTTTCTTGATGGTATGAGGTCCTCCTGTCTCACTGCTCACTTCTATCTTTTATATCTCAAGAAGCTGCCTCAGGACACAATCCAGTCTTGTAGATCAGGTCCTGCCTTACTAACACAACTGCCACCCATCCTCCCTCATTAACATCATAGAGGCAGGTTTACAACATACAGGAAAATCACACAGTACCAGGAATCATGGCCTAGCCAAACTGACACATACATTTTTGGGGGGACATAATGCAAACCAGGACAACATGTTACACGCTACTCTTGAATCTTCTAACGCAAACATCTTTCTGTGTTAATAATTTCCTGTGTTTTCTAACAATAGGTGAATGGCATTAGGCAAGCTACTGCACTTCTTTGGGCCTCACTTTTCCATGTATAAAAGAACAAGGATAGGATTATCTACCTCACAGGCTTATGTGAGAATTGTTGAACATTTTTAGCCAGTTTTTACCTATTATAACATTGAAATGAAAATCTATGTAGCTATGTTATTTAAGACATCCTAAACTACTTTCTTTGAATAGATTTCTAGAAGCGGAACCCTGGATCAGTGATATTTTACACATTTCCAAATGGAACTGCCTTACATTCACTAACATGCCCATTTCCCTCCCCATCTCTGCCTCATTTTCTTTTTCTTAAATGTTTTGTAAAGTTAAAAAGACTACAGTAGATCACATAAAATTAAAACCTTTACTATTTAAATTTTGATCACTATTTGCACTTTACTTGGAAAAATGAACAAACCTTCAGCGCCACGTTGCAACCTTTTTCTCAAGCAGTTTTACTCTACAAACTAAATTTTAAGAGAACAATTTCAAATTCGATTCAGAATAAACTCAGTGCAATAGTTGCTTAAACACAAAATAAATGTTATGTAAAAAAAATAGTAAAAACGTCTCTGGTTAAAGCATGGCCCCCGGACTCTCTGTTAGCCCAAAACTAAAACCATTCCCGAGGCCAACTCTTCAGACAAAGATTGGACTGGACTGTGGGACATAAAATGATACATGAGACTGAATGGGCAGCTCCTGTCCGGAGGAGAGATGAGAAAGCAGAGAGGGTCAGGAGCTGGTTGAATGGACACAGAACATCCGGGGTGGAAAGGAGGAGTGTGCTGTCACAGTACAGGGAGAGCAGCTAGGGTCACATAATCAATGTTTGTATGAGAAACTAACTTGAACTGTAAAATTTAAAGCACAACAATAAAATAAAAAATAAATATCTTCGATTAGTTAAAACACACTTGGCTTGTAACAGCAAGCAAAGACCAAAAACCAAGCCCCCTGCCAGTGGAATCGAGTCCGATTCACAGCGACCCTACAGGACAGAGGAGAACTGCCCCATAGGGTTTCCAAGGCTGTAATCTTTACCGAAGCAGGCTGCCACATCTTTCTCCGCTGGTGAACTTAACTGCTGACCTTCTGGTTAGCAGCCGAGCGCTGGAACCACTGCGCCACCAGGGCTCCTCGGCAAAGACCAAAACCAAACACCAAACCCACTGCCATCAAGTCGATTCCGACGCCGAGCGACCAGACACCCTACAATTAAGACAAAGGTTTGCGCAAGCTGTCGAGACGGAGACAGGCTGGGAGGACGTGCAGCAGAAGCCCTGACATCAAAACACACTGACTGAGCACTCAGGAGGCTGTTTCTTTAACGCTGCTAACACGCCCCCTTGGCCCTGGGAGCTGTCACTTCCCCAAGCCACGGCACGCGCAAACGCAGGCGAACAGAAGCACGGCGCGCAGAGCAGCGAGGCTGGCGCGGCAGCCGGACGCGGAGGGCCGCGGCGGCCAGCGCTCGGGACCAGCCCGGCTGTGCGAAGGGACTAACTCGTGACAGCCCCGGGCGCTGGACGCCGGCCACGCCGACGCCTCCCCAGTTCCCGGCTCCTGCAAGCGGCTGGCCCCGATGGCTCGACCCCGGTCCTCACCCCTGGGCTGCGGGTCGGGATTAGGACACCTCCGTCGGGGGTCCGCGGTCCCGCGGGATCTGAGCCCCTCCGAAGCCCACTTCGGGTCGGGATGGGAGAGGCGCCCGCAACCAGAGGTCCACCATTCCCAGGGATTCCCCACCCCGCCCTCATCCACGGGCTGGGGTCTCGGGTGGGTAGGGGGACTCTCCGGCGTAAGACCCCAGCTCCCGGAACTCGGATCTGGGGTTGGGCATTAGGGAAAAACTCTGACAGAGATCAGACGTCCCGACGGATCCGCCCACCCCCGCCCCACCCCGCTCGTTCCCGGACCGAGTTCGGGGTGGGCGGAACCGGGCTCAGGAGTGACAGACGACCCGGTCTCGGTCCGGGGCGTGGGGAAGTCGGCAGGTCACAGGTCAAGGGTCAGCACAGACCCTCCCCTCCCGCTCACCCGCGAGCCGGGGCCAAGGGGCGTCGGGAACCAGGGAAGGAGAGCGGCGGCCATCGTACCTGAGACGAAGACAGCGCCTGCTGGAGCTGCTGCTGCTCCTCGCTAATCTTTTGCTTCAGTTTCTTGAACATGGCGCAGCGCGAGGTCCTGAGTGTGAATGAAACCTGAGGGGCGGGTGCCCGGAGAGTCACCTCTCTACACCAGGGGCTGCGGGGACCGGGCCTCGCCGCCTCCTCCTTGGGCTCGCAGGCAGCGCGGGACACTCGTCCTGCAGGTGTCGGCGTCGCCGCCGCCGCGTCTCTTTCTCCCGGGTGCCACTAGCCGGCCTCGGCCCCCCATCCAGCCCCGGCGGCGGCGACGACAACGGCAGCAGGTGAACGGTGCGGCCAGGGCGCCTGCGCGGCCTACGTGGAGCTCGCCGAGGGAGCCCTACGGAGCGCCGTAGGGGACAAGCACCGCGCGCCCACACATGCGCGCTAGGGTATAGCGCTGGCTCGCGGACGGCCAAGCGAGAGGCAGGTTCTCACCGTGAACTCACTGGACTCAGAGATGCTCCTCGCGGCTCAGAGCCGGAGCGCGCACGGCCGGGGTCGCGCGGCTCGGGGCCGGAGCGCGCACGGCCCGGGTCGCGCGGCTCGGGGCCGGAGCGCGCACGGCTGGGATCACTGGCGGACTGGGCTTGGACGCTGCGAAGTGCGGCAGAGAGAGTGCTGCTTTTGTTGAGGGCGGCGGGGCTGCCAGGCCCCCCAGTGAAGAACCGCGTGCGTGGGCGTCCAGGGTGGGAGAAGGGTGGAATTGAGGGGACCTGAGGTAGCCCTTGAACGATAATGTGGTTTTAAGTGTCTGTGATTGCTGTTAGGTGCCGTTGAGTCGGTTCTGACTCTTAGCGACCCTGTGTGCAACAACGAAACACTGCCCCTTCCAGTGCCAGCCTCACAGCCATTGCTATATTTGAGCTCATTGATGCAGCCACTGCCTCAATCCATCTCGTTGAGGGTCCTCCTCTTTTTTTGCTGACCCTCCACTTTACCAAGCATGACGTCCTTCTCCAGGGACTGGTCCCTCCTGATAACATGTCCAAAGTATGTTAGATGAAGTCCTGCCATCCTTGTTTCTAAGGAGCATTCTGGCTGTACTTCTTCCAAGACAGACTCGTTTGTTCTTCTGGCAGTCCATGGGATATTCAGTATTCTTTGCCAACACCATAATTCAAAGGCATAAATTCTTTGGTTTTCCTTATTCGTTGTCCAACTTTTCACATGCATATGAGGCGACTGAAAACACCATGGCTTGGGTCAGGCGCACCTTAGTCTTCAAAGTGACATCTTTGGTTAGAACCGCTGACCTTTCAGTTAGCAGCCAAGCGCTTAACCGCTGCGCCACCAGGCTCCTCGTTTGTGATTAGGATTCTGTTATCTTTAGTGTCCAATATTCTGACTGCTCATTGGAGGGGGAGGAAGGGGTTCTTCCCTGGAGTCTTTCAGGGAAAGTGCCTTGAGACAAGCTCCCAGGGTCCAGATGTTGTGTGCCAGTAATGTGAGACATCTTTTAGTCACCTGCCTTTATTCTTTACTTCACTGAACTTGTGTATTTTCACGTATTCATACAAGGAACTTTGTGTCTAGATGCCAGGACCCTGGAGATGCTACACTAAGTAAAACAATATCCCTGCCCATAAATAACACACAGCTTCCTAAAGAGTCCAAATTTACTCCTAATACCTGCTATCATTTTAAGACCTTTTTGATGTTTGTGTACTTAAAATTCCTCCAACACCTTGACCTTTTGTTCATACGTGAACCCTCAGATCCACCTCGGCAACCTGCTTCTGCATGCTCTACATTTGGGATTATTTACCAACATTCATAGACAGATACAAACTGCTCTCTAGGGCTGCCTAGCCTAGTCACTAAACACATCACAGCTGGAGTAGGGCTATAAGCTAGCAGCATGGGAGGTCCTCTTGTTTCAAGGAGGATAATGAGAAGCACCATCCGCCCCAGGCTGATTCCTATCCTATGGAGGTCAGACATATCTCCACCCTCCAATCTTTTTACCAATTCTGACACCAGCCAATGCTCCCCTGCCCTCTCCCACCCCCCCTTCTCTGCTGGGTTCTATAATTTGTTGCAATGGCCACACAGAACTCACAGACCCTGCTCACCATTATGTGGTTTATTAGGGAAGTAACAGGCTACCATTCAGGATCAGGATTAACTTGGAAGTAACCCGAACAGTGTAGGACAGGATCAGGACAGCTTCCAACCAACTGCTAGCCTCCTCTCGGCCTCTGCCTGCTTTTGCAAGTGTTAACAGCTCTTTAGCTCAGCAGACAAGTGCCCTGAGGCACCCCACTCCACCAGCAAACCTCCTGTCTGAAGGTGTGCTCAGCTCTCACTCCTTCAGCAAGGAAGTCCACCGCAGCCACGTCACATCGGTCTCCTGGTTCCGGCCCAGGAAGCCCA